AACCCCATATTGCCTATAACAGTGATGCTATGACTTTCTATGACAGATAATTTATAGGTACTATTGCTACCCAAGAAATATATATACATATACACATGTGTGTGTGTGTGTGTGTGTGTGTAATATTCATATTATTTCCTTATTTTCCATTATTTTCTAACTGAGTAAAAAAAAGAAAAGAGTACCTTATTTGATACTCTGCCTACTTCAATCTGTTAATGTTTTTGAGATCCTTTCAAAATGAGTAGTACTCTACAATCAACATGATTGGCTAGTGATAGTTTAAATTGTTGAAAATTGATGTTAATGAGATTTAAATAAGTGAGAAACATGGATTGATGATGAAAAGTGTGAGGTGGGGGAGAGATACAATCCTAACCCTAGAGTGGCAAATTATATTATACTGATATTGCAGTTAAGGCTCACTTCAGATACTTCATTGGTGGCATGGCTATCACTAAACTTGGAAATAGAGTGGGTATTTATGCAAAGCAGTAATCTTTCGTAAGGGGAAAACATTGCATAAATGGTGCATAGACTCTAAAGAGAGATCAGGTTATGTAAGAAAATAAGAATAGATCAGGTCAGTGGCCCATCTAGTCCAGCATCTTACTCTCACTGTGGCCAACCAGATGCCCAAAGGAAACCCACATATAGGAGTTAAGTGTAGTAGTAGTAGTAGTAGTAGTAGTAATAATAATAATAATAATAATAATAATAATAATAATAATAATTTTATCATTTATACACCCATCTGGTTGGGTTTCCCCAGCCATTCTGGGCAGCTTCCAACAAATTAAAATGCAGTAAGACATCAGACATTAAAACTTCTCTATACAGGGCTGCCTTCAGATGTCTTCTAAAAGTCTGATAGTCAGATAGTTGGTTATTTCCTTGACATCTGATGGTAGGGCAGGCGCCACTGCCAAGAAGGCCCTCTGCCTGGTTCCCTGTAACCTCACTTCTCGCAGTGAGGGAACTGCTCAAAGGCCCTTGGAGCTGGAGCTCAGTGTCCAGGCAGAACGATGGAGGTGGAGACGCTCCTTCAGGTATACTGGACTGAGGCCATTTAGTGCTCTGTGGTTTCCAGAGAGACATAGTACCTCTCACAACTGAAGCAGAGTCTAGCCATTGATAGCATTATCCTATATAAATATGTCTAATCCCCTTTTAAAGCCATCTGAGCTGGTGGCTACCACTGCCTTCCGAGTCAACGTATTCATTGAGCTATCCACTATGAGTGCAACATCTCGCTCATGGTAATGAGTTACGATATTGATATATATTCTGCTTCATGATCTTGGGCTCTACAAATAAAGAAAAAAGAACTAAATTCACTTGTCTGCATGCAAACCTTTACTAGACGCCTGATTTTTAGGTACCCTGAATCAATATGCCCAATGCCTTTAGAGCAAAGAAGGTACTAGTGTTAATTTTTTGTGCAAAAATTTGGGGCTTTCCAAATATTGCATCTGAAAAGGTTTAAACTCATATTTTGCATATGACTTGGGGCTTATTAAAATGTACTTATTTAATTAGAACAGCATAATTTTGTGTTGAGGCTATCTGGTCTAATAAATTCTAGGGATGCATAATTATTGGCTCAGATTAATTCAAATGGGTGAAAATAGGGTCTCTAAGGTCCGCTAGCTCTGAGCAGTTTCTCATTTCAAAGATTTCCAAACATTGCAGCAATATGAATTTTTAGTGCAAGCACTGAATTCACTTGAAAATATAACCAGAAACATCTTTAAACAAAGAGTATCAGATGTAGAAGCACAAATTGGCAGAGCTGCCATTTCCTCTTCAAGTCTTATGCATTGGTTAGTAAGTGTAAAATATCAGCATCAATGGAAAAAATACCTTTAATTTCCTATTCTAATGGGAAATGGGAAACTGGGCTCTGCTTCGAATGGATGGAATGATTAGTTCAACTGGCAATGTTTGCAGACATACCAGTCCAAAACCTGTGATGTATCTGGAGGACAGCAATATTACAAAATGTGCCTCACCATATTCTTGAATGGCACATTGATTCTGATAATAGAGAACATTCTCTGGAGCCCTTTCTAAAGGACATGAAATATTAGGATGACAGTAAGGAAAAACATTAATTACAATAACAATCAAGCATTAATTAATGGATTGTGAATTATGCATGTTAAACTACTGTTTTTTTGTGTATTGTTGTTTTAGATCGTATGCCCTGCAGGGTAGAAATTTTTATTTTAATTGTGTACAGGAGTATGTACATTGATGGTGCCATGTAAATAAATGATGGTGATTATAATAATAATACGATTTTTATAGCAATTCATTATATATCTCTTTGTAATAAATACAAGTGACTCAAACCTTGCACTTTATTATTCCAATAAATGATAAGCAAACTCCACTTCCCTACAAACTTTTCATCGCCCAATTTGCCTTTGTCAGATGGACCATATAGGGCATTTCCCACGCCTTAGAAAACAAAGAGTCTATAAAAGGTAGGGTGGAATTTCTCCAGTTTTGACAAATTATCATTCCAGCTGCACTTAGCAAATGGACCATTTCAATGTATCCTCTGATGTCATGCCCCTTGTTTGTATTTTTATGTGGGGTTTAGAATGTACCGGTATTTTATTTTTAGGTGGACTTTAAATGCGATGGTCTGAAGACTAAATTAATAACAAGGAGGGGGGTCCAGATATATCCCCTCATGCTTTCAATGAAAGCTCCCCTTGCATGCTGAAACAACTGGTGACCATGCCCTGTGTTCAGTGTTAGTGAGAGAAGAATCTGACAAGTGTGCATCTAGGGCCCCTTTTTCACTAATGCAAATGTGTGGCTACCAGGCTACGTGGCCTGAGAAGTGCATCAGCTTGCGATGGTCATGGTCAGCAGGCACTTTCCTGCTAATCTCTAACATACAAATTGTGAGTGGGTTCCCCTGAACACCTCTAATTTTCTGTCCTTTCCCTCCAAACTGATAATGCTCAGATTTGATTGCTATAAAATAAGTGTGCTTTGTATATCGCTGTGGCAGATAACAGAAGCTTCATGGTTGCGGTTAAATGGTGCAGGGGATGACAACACACTCAGTTCCTATGAGGTTGGGAAGGGAGAAAGGTAGGTTGTACCAGGAGAAAAGTTTCAGGTGAGTAAGCACATTTGTTTGGGAAAGTTTTCTAGAGCCCACTGCTATCACTTGGGCTACTCTAGCCAATTAAGACACTATCCATTGTTCCTCAGGGCCACCTGAGACTTCAAGCCCTTACACTGGGAAACAGACATCAACAGTTGTGTCCCCAATGCTCTCTCCAAATTTTGATTTCAGGTAAATGCTAAGGCAACCGCAGGTAAAATGCTTCAGCAAGAGAGAGAGAGACTGTGTGTCTGGTGCCTGCCTGAAGCATGAGAATTAGAGGGAAAACATGGAGAGCTTAGAAGGGATGTTTAGCTGGCACCTGCATTTCTTTTCTCTTATCTATTTCACACTTATCGGGTGTGTGATTTTTCTGCCCAGCACACATTAGAGTCTGTAAGTAAAAATGACATTTAATTTTAAGCACCAGTGCATACCATTTTTAGTTAATGTACCGTGTCTCTTGGGTGCAGAAGAAGGAACTGTCTTGCGGAGCACTTGCCAGCCTCAAGAAACATGATTCCAGGAGAGAAATCAAGAGGAAGATTCCAACAAAATATGACTTAAACACTATATTTTAAAGTGTCTCTTACTGCCCTTGGGACAGGGTAAGCAGCACACCTAAATACTTTGGCCTAGTTATCACAGTGAATGGATAAGTTGTGAGGAATCCATTTCTAGATTGGAGCACTTCAGAGTTCAAGTAGGGACTGCTTCTCCCTAGAAAAGCAAATAAATAAGCTTCTGTGTACAAAAAAAGTAGCATGAAAGGCTAGGCTGTGGCCCTGTAAATGTCACATGTCTTCCATCAGCACCACCCACAATGGCCAATGGTAAGGGGTGGGCACTCCAACAACAACTGGAGGGCCACAAGCTCCCCACCCTTCCTTTAATTTAGCCTTTCTTCCTGACACACCAGTTTTCTATGTGTGCTATTCTGCTGTTCCTCTTTCTTATTGTCATCAGACCCTGGCAGACTCCCAAGTTGAGAAACACTGTGGGCAGCTGAAGAAGAGGAGGCGGGGTTAAGTAAAAGCAGCAACCATCATTGCTACCTGCCCATTCATTGGTAGTGGCTCCTCCTCTTCTCTTCCTCCTTTTTTGCCATTGCAGTGACACTATTGGTTGCATCTCGCCACCACAGCAGCAGCGGAAACCGCTGCTTGCTTATTTGCCCTCTTCCTGTGCTTGATAGTGTTGGCGGACTGGGCCATAAGGGAGAGAGCAGGTGTGTGGCAGTAAGGAGGAGATGCCACAGAGGTTGTTCTGATTGGTCAGTGGTGAGGCCCTTCTGGGATGTGGTCCACGCATACCAATCTTTGGACTAGTTACCCTTTTCTGTCTCTCAGCACAACTGGATGTCAGGGTCTTAGGAATGAGACAGTAGCTCCTTCCCTAGAAAGGACCTGAGAGTAGTTTGTAAAATACAGTCGTACCTTGGAAGCTGAACGCCTTGGCTCCTGAACAAATCGGCTCCTGAACGATCAAAACCCAAAAGTGAGTGTTCTGGTTTTCGAACGATTTTCGGAAGCTGAACGTCCGGCGTGGTTTCTGTGGCTTCTGATTGGCTGCAGGACACTCCTGCAGCCAATTAGAAGCCACACTTTGGTTTTCAAACGGTTCTGGGAGTCTAACTGACTCCCAGAATGCATTCTGTTCGAAAACCAAGGTACCACTGTATAATGTTGAAACTATTAGGCTACAGGCTACATTTAGGTTCTTATTCTGTTGCGTTGATTCCCAGGACAGGAGACACAGGAGCATAAGGCTCTACCTTATATTGACTCAGATAATTGGGTTCGCCTAGCTCAATATTGTCAAAAGTGCCTGATAGTGGATTTCCTTTGAGGCAGGAATATTCCCCAGTCCTATCTGGAGATGCTGGAAATTGAACCCAGGACCTTCTGCATGCAAAGCACGTGCTCTACCATTGAGCTACATCCTTTCCCAAGGCTCCCCATTTCACTCTACACCCACTTCAGCATGACATTTCTGCCCCAAAGCCTGCTGAATTTGTCTTCAGATTCTTCAGCATATCCTGGTGTACATCACACCACATGTTTGGGTTATTTGTAAGGGCAGAATGGCATCCCTTCATCTTAAAATACTTTGCCAAATATCAGAAAGCCGTACAAGAATGGAAAGGAAGAAAGTCGTATCTGAGGGAATAGCTCGTCTTATTAATGCTACCCATTTCTTTATGAAACATTACAGTTCTTCAAAGCTAACCTTAAAAGGGAAGATGAGTTCTAAAGGAGACGGGAATCCACAGATTTGACAAGCTCTTTCTTTGCTTCCTCAGAGGCTTCACTGTGACACGCAGGGCACCATCCAATTTGCCACGTTTTTGCTTAAATGGGTGAGAAATGTTGCGGTTTATTTTTATAAATGGAGTCATTGCCTCAAGCCAGTCAAGATTCAACATCTGAATAACCATGTATATGAAACACAGAGATGTTCGAAGTGCTCCACAGACGTCCCTAGAGTGGTTCCCTTGAAGCCGCAGCAGCAGTTCTATCAAGGATGAATCTCAGCCATGATTTTTACGCTGAGGCTGAAAGGTTTGTTTTATTTTGATCGCTCTTTCCCACCGGAACCTCTGGCAATCATGTGGCTATGCAATATAAGCTCTCTGTTGAACACAGGGCACTTATAGCTTACAGAATTTATTAATGCAGAATGCAGAGTTGAAGTTACTTGCTGCAGAAATCAACCACACAAAAAGGAAATATGGTTTAAAATTATTGCTATAACTTAGGGCAGGGAAACATTTTGTCTCCATGGGCCAGATATTTATCAAGATCAGCCTTGTGGGTCAAAGTTGACACATGGGTGGGACTGCTCACTTGTCAACCACATAGGCGAGATTCATTAATGAACACTGTCAGTGGAAGCTCTGCCCAGGGGCTTCTGTTTGCACAGTGAGAATTTATCCTCCTCCCTGCGTCTTGTGAAAATGGGTCTTGAGGGGTTTGAGAAAATCCCCAGAACAGCACGTGGGGGAGCTGGGTCATTCTGTCTAGTAAGCTGATATGCTTGTGCAGATCCAACATTTCATAGAATCATAGAGCTGGAAGGGCCCTGAGGGTCATCTAATCCAACCCCTTTCTATACAGAAATCTCAACTCAAGCATCCATGATGGATGGCCATCCAACCTCTGCTTAAAAACACCCACAACCTACTGAGGGAGTCCGTACTACTGCTGAATGGCCCTTACCATCATAAAGTTCTTCCTGATGTTTAGTTGGAATCTCCTTTCTTGTAACTTGAAGCCATTGGTTGGGGTCCTACCCTCCAGAGCAAGAGAAAACAAGCTTGCTCCATCTTCCATGTGACAGCCCTTGAGATATTTGAAGATGAATCTCACGCCTTCTCTCATTGTCCTCTTATCCAGGCTAAACTCCCTCAACCATTCCTCATATGGCTTCGTTTCCAGACCTTTGATCATCTTGATTGCCTTCTTCTGCACATGTTCTAGCTTTTAAATATCCTTCTTCAGTTGTGGTGCCCAGAACTGGGCACAGTATTCCAGGTGTGGTCTGACCAAGGCAGAATAGAATGGGACTATGACTTCCTTTGATCCAGACACTATACTTCTGTTGATGCAGCCTAGAATAGCAATAGCTTTGTTACTGCTACATGCTGCTACACCACCACATGTCTCTTCCTCCTCTGAGGAGTGGCAAGAATAGTTTTGTACATTGTACCTTCCACAGCCACCTCAGTGTGTTTTGAGGTCTGCAACTGCTGTCCTAGTGCAATGTAGAATTCCACCCATAATATCATTCTGATGTCGCAAGATTGGCAAGTGTGTTGCTCCTCTGGCCCATCTGCCCAAATTCCTTGTGTAGGCTTCCTGCTCGGGAACCACAGTGCATGGGACATTTTAAGCTCCATGTTTGGTGTTTTGGGAAGCTCTGAGCATGATCAGACCTCCTTGGGCTGGTTTGTGGCAGGTGGTGGAAATCCTCCCTTGAGGTTTTTTCTTTTTCCAAATACACACACACACACACACACACACACACACACACACTTGTACTTATCCCAAGCCTGCCAGTACCTCCCTCTTTTGCACGGATTATGTCATTTTGGCTATATAATGCCTTGTGCTCAGTGAAATGAGGTCACTATTAGTATATATGATAAAAGAAGCAGTCTTTTCCCAGGTAGAAATCTGAATATATATGCAGCAAAAAAATCCTCTTTTAAGAGCAGAACTCCATTACAGCTGATAGCTGTTACTTCAGTGTAGCTTAATTAGAAACTTAATGCACCATTAATGTAGCAAGAATCGGCGTTAAAATTACAACATAGCTGGCTGAAACTGCTATGAAACTCACCCAATGCTCTGCCTGTCCTTTATCTTATGATTACCTCCTCATCTAACATCTATGCAGTCAAAACTGCAGAGCTTAATGGAATAATCATGTGCATGCCATCTCTTTAAAAGGCAAGATTCAATACTTTTAACACATTATATTTCTCCTACAATGGACTTCTCAAGAAGGAAAGTATGGTGAGAAATTAACTCATCATCAAATAATTATCTTATGAAGTAGTTCACAATTCACTCTAGCCTAGAGTGAACAAGGGAAAGTGTGTGCGAGCAAAAGAGATGAAGCCATTTGTTCAGAATTCTATAAAACCTGTTTTCTCCAATACCAAATCTTTATTTTTACAGAGTAAAATGTCATAGGCCCCTTGCTGCACATGGCTGAATTTGAGATGATTTGTATTTTGTTAGAATTTTAAGGGTATGTATTTTGTAATTCTTGCGTTGTCCAAAATGGAGGGAGGGTTTTTGAAATGAAATTCAGTTGAAATGATAAAGAATGGCAAAGTATGAGAAATATCAGCTGCCTAGATTGCCAAAGATGTTTCAACCGAAAGGTCAAGATGCGGTTAAGATGTCAACTCTGCCTACATGCATACATGGACAAATAACGAGTTGACCAACGATGCACACCAGTTATGATATCATCCCATTAGCTCTTGTTATGGCTTTGTGACCTTTTGAGTTATCATCATGTTCCCAATGAGAAAGGAGTATGGATGTGGCTTATAAAATTCATATACATTTATATATACATTTGAAGGCAGCTAGTGTAGTGCAATCGTCATAGTGTTGGACCAGGACCTGGGAGACTAGGTGACCTTGGGCTGCTCCCTGTCTCTAACCTCCATTTGCATGGTTGTTGTGAGGAGAAACAGGGAAGGGGAGAACCATGCCTGCAGTGACAGCAGAGAAGCAGCACTGGCCTCAACACCGGAGGTGAAAGGAAAGGAGGGTGGTGGCGGTGGCAGTAGGGCAGGGTAGCACTTCCTGTTTCTCCTCAAGCAGCAAAATGGGACATGTTGTCAACGAGCTTTGTTAAATTTTCACATTGGTCTGATTTATAACTGATCATGTGCCAAGCTTAACTTCCTGCTAGCAACTGGTGTGAGTTTGTTGATGGCAAGAGCAGCTTGGACAATTGGACAACCCTCTATTCAGCCACCATGCACTCATATACCATGCTGGCGGTGGCATCCTCCCCTTCCCAGTGATGAAATGTAAGTGAAGGGAATTCCTTACTCCTCTAGTGCTACATCCTGGCCACCAGCAGTGTTTCCTAGTAGATGGCTTCCCTGGTTAGCATTGCCGTTTCCCCTTCTTGATTTTGTACTCAGAACCACAACGTGCATTGCTTAGTGACACTGAAAGCAGCTCCACCCCCCAGCTCTACTATAAATCCAATATTTATTTGTTAAATCCATATTAAGACCCATGTTAACAATGTTTTCTCCTAAAACCGATAAGCTCAGTCCCATAGCCTACGAAGTCCACCTCGTGACTTTGGAATTAAAAGTAGATATGAGAACAGGAAGAGTTCTTTGAATTGGAGACTTACTTTTCTTATTTCCAGTAAGAAAACAATCTGGCCTTTGGAATGGAACCTTACTGTCTGTTCTTTTAAAAACGAACATTTCCAGAAGGTGTCCATTAAAATAGAAATCCAACATCCATATAGAATATTTCACCCATGAAGGGTGACTATTATAGTATAAAAAGGCCCATAAGTCACAGATGCAATGGCAGTCATGAACTATGAAGGGCATTTTCCTCCTCGCACCCAGTGAAATGAAAAGGATCACACTTCTTAGATGGGCTCTTCTGAGGTCTTCTACTAATTTGTTTAAAACCAAATCAATATGTTTATGATGTTCAGCAGTGATATTTCAATATGGGATGAGAGATAAGTTGAGCCATAGCAACTTTCAAATATAATGTTATCATTTAACCCAGTGCTTTGTCTTGCTACTGAACAATAATACTGGCAATTTATGGGGTGGGTGAATGATTTCCCCTTATTTATAAAGGTTGATTTCTATGCTCAAAGCAATAAAAGTTAACTTCTCCTAGGGTAGGTGAATATGTCAATTTTGGTTTCTCTCTGATTCTCATTTTTCCAGTCCTGTGTTCAGTTCTCCACATTTTCACATCAGTTTGTGAAATACATACATACATATTTTTTGTGAGGGGAAGTCCTCATGAAAATTAACCATTATTCTAGTGCAAATTTCTCATACACATTTTTGCATGCAATTTTTCCTAATATACACATGTTTACAAAGCATGTGTATTTCCCCCTAGTATAATGCATTTTCGTACATTATTTTCACCAATATATGCATTTAGATGCACACTTTACCCTGGTATATGCTTTTTTGTACACATGACCTAGCTGGGGAACTGCACTGCAAAATTCGGAGAAGTGTGAATTTCAAATGACGGTTGTGTTTTGGTTCTCGTTTCAGTAAGTGAGAACTTGGTAAATTCACTTTTAAATGTGAACTGAATTGAATTTCCCATCCCTTACTTCCAGGCTTACTCATATAGGAATGTTTGGATATAGAAATGTTTCCTACAGAAGCTGGTGAATGATGGATCAGGAAAGTCTCTAGTA